CTTTTAAAAAAATTTACTTGGTTAGGGCCAGGGATTTAGCTCAGTGGTTCCACCACCTGCCTCACAAGCATAAGGTCCCAAGTTTGATCCCGGTAACCCCCCCCCCCCAAAAAAATTTACTTGGTTATATAGTTATTTACACACTGTAGAGTCAAGACTTGCTCTAGTTACATGACAATTTGGGCCATATGTATACCTAGAAAGTAGCAGTACCCCTTTCCTTATATCTTCCCTAATATCAAAATGAAAATTCGGTCATCTTTTTAGCAGTGTCAGATTTTAACATGATAAAACAAATTTTGACATTTCCAATTTATTTTTAACACTGTCACTAGGGCTTAATACTTTTCTTTTCTCATAGTGTTAGTCCATTTGGCATCATTTGGTATTCAGTATTAAAACTACAGTTTCTTAGAGCTGGGCATGGCACATGCCTGTCATCTCAGCACTTGGGAGGCTGAGGCAGGAGGATCGCCATGAGTTCAAGGCCAGCCTGGGCTACAGAGTGAATTCAAGGCCAGCCTGAACTATATATCGAGACCTTGTCTCAAAAAACACACACAAAAAAAATAAAACTAGTTTCTGTGTTCAGTTATTAAAAACAAAATGGAGTAGGAGAAAATCTTTCTTTGATTTTTTTCTTCCACTTTTTAAAAGAATGATTTTGAGGATTGAAGTAGATCTTTCACACAGACCTCATATCCCCAGTGATGTTTTTCATATTTATTTAAATTAAGTCCTCATCTTGGTCTGTCTTTATGTACTTCAAAAAACAAAAGTGAACATGCTGTAAAGACATTGAAAAAAAAATAACACCATAGCCAAGATGGCAGATAAACTTCTAGATCAAAATTAAACAAAGACTTTGAGATTGCGTCTTTTCTTCATTGAGTGTGAATAAACCTGTCTGGTGTGGGCTCTGGAGATGGCTGAGATGAGTGTCTCTGAAGAATTCACCTGGGCCTTTACTGGGGGAAGGGTGGAGCGTGTGCCCACAAGGTTTTTTTAGTGAACACCATGATACCCTGGATACCTATCTCGTGGTGTGAAGACTTGGCTTTAAAACACTCTAATTCAGTATGACCCTAATGGTTATAATAATGTCTAAGCATAAAATTATTTGGTTTTATATAAAAGATTTTAAATTATGTATAGCCTACTCTCAATATAAACATTCCTACCCTAAGTGTGAGAACATCTTGTTTTCTGTGATAGCAAATTGATTTTAATAATTCTTTGGAAAAAAATGGTAAATTTGCTGTAGCTTTGTCTTCCAAATCTAAAGGTGTTTTATTGTTTGTCTTTCTTAACACTAGTTGAAGTTGACTATTTCAACTGATCAGCTAAATACTTAGTTTTTATCGAAAGTAGTTTGAGGAGTAAGAAGTAAAGAATATATGGTTTACATTTGTCTTCAGGATCACTTGAAGTTGTAAACATTTACATTCAAATAATTTTCTCCTCTCAAGTCTAGTAAATTTCAATTCTAGTGAAATAGAAACCTCTGCCCCTATTCTGTAAGGGAAAATTATGCTAAATGCGTACTGTTCATCCCGTTGGCATTGCCAACACTTAAAAATTTGATTTTGTGATGACAGATCCCTTCTTGTCTTAGTTGAACTGTAAGTGATATTTTGCTTGTTTGTTTGTTTCTTCGTACTGGAGATCGAACTCAGGTCCTTGCGCTTGCGAGGCAGGTGGCATAAGTGATATTTTGAAAAAATTTTTTAACCAAAAGGTCAGCATAATGAAAGTTATTGATGGGTAACACAAATAGTACAAACAAGCATCTTTTCTCACCTGCTTTAAACTGTTGCAGATGAGGTAAATTGTTTATACTAAGGCAGCTTTACAGAAAATCTTTCTGACACATAGTTCAGTTGATTTTTGTGTGTATTTCAGTTCCTGACATAAGGTAATACACACGGCCCATTGATTATGCCCAGCCAAAACGATAGAAGTACCGAAGCCTGCAGTCATGTTTTTTAAGCCTGAGGACAGTTTGTTAACATGAAGCAGTATCATGCACCTCTACGTTGTAATAGTTGTGTTTTTGATATGCATTGAGTGAAAACTTGATAGACCACTGTATTCAATAATCCCATCAAATAACTTTGTCCTTCATCAAATCTAGACACTAATGGATATTTAAAACAACATACTCAGTTTTTTTCCCGTTAACAAAGAGTGTCCACACACACAGGGCGTGTCTGAAAAATACAGTCAATGTTTAAATTTCCAAAAATGTATTACAATAAAAGACATTGCCATTAATCCTCCTCAGAATACTCCCCCTTTCTCTGAACACACCTCATCACTCTCGCCACTTTGAGAAGCAGTTCTGGAAGTCCCCTTTTGTATCTTTAGTTACTCTGTTGTGGCTGCCCTGATGTCCTGAATCAATTAAAATGTTTACCTCTCATGCTCATTCTGACTTTGGGAAAGAACCAGAAGCCACATGGTCCATGTCGCTGAGTGAGGTGGATGAGGAGCCACCGCAGTGTTTTTAGGAGCCTGCCTTTTTGTTGGACTGCACCAATATTCGCTGTATTTTTGAAAGGAAAAAGGACTCGTACAGTTGCTTCAGAAAGTGGCAAGGACAAAAGGATAAGTGTGTGTGAAGTGAGGGAGAATATTTTTAGGCAGATTAATGATAATGAGTCTTACTGTAATGTGTTTTTTTAAAGTAAAGGTTCACCATATATTTTGATCACCCCTTGTGTGTCATTATCCATATTTTTTGTCATTGTTCCTGGAAAGGCTAAAAACTTTCCTAATTTGCATGGGTAAGGTGACATCTTTGGTCATTGACATATTCAAGTAGCAGCTAAGTACAGCAGCAGCAGTTGCAGAAATTAAAGTTATCCGACAGAGTAAGGCTTTGCTTGCTTACGTTCTTGTTACACAGATGATAGTACAGATTTTTTTAGAGTATAGATCTAAAGTCTTTGTTATTTTATGCTTTCAAAAAGCATGCAGCTGTTCCTTTTCTGTTGATATTTTGTTATCCATACATGGATTCAGGTTACTGATGATAGTTTTAACAGCAGAAGTAAGGTCTCATTTTATCCAAAGCATAATTATGCATACCCTCACCATAAGACAGAGTTGAAATTGGGTGTTTTGTTTTAATTGCCAGAATTCTGTATCATTGCTGGAGTGGGGAGGGAGGAATTGGACCCATACCTTAAGTTAGTCAAACGTTTGAAACTTACTAGCACCTTCAATGAAATTCATATGCCGTCTACCTTCTGGACTTGCTACCCTTTAGTTTACATTTGGGACCAGCTTTTCAAAGTGGTGCATTATTTATAAGTTTTCCCATCAGGCCTTTAATATTCTGATCATCAACATAATTCAAAATGTGATGCAGGATTCTTTGAAAATGGCCTCAGGTATTCACTTGAGTTACTTCAACACTGAACCATCTGGTGCTCGGTCCCCTTTCTCTTCCTCTACCAGGAGTATCTGCAGGTGTACTTTGCTGACCTTTAGATGAGTGGCTTCCTTCTCACTGCTTCAGGGCACCTGTTGTCTGGATGCCGGGCCGGGAGTTTCACTTCATTACCAGATCTAAAATGCCTAGGGCCAAAAAAATAAATAAATAAATAAATAAATAAAATAAAATGCCTAGGGCCAAGCATTATTTGTTCCTCCACTGATGAGAAAGCTCTTGTTCATATACTGTAAGGAAGAACAAAGTGCATATTTCAGGATTTGCTGCATTAGAAATTAGGGAATATGAACCAAAGGAGTGAGAGAGGGAGAGTTATAGTGAGTTAACATAAGTAAATGAGTTTTGTTTTGCTTTATTTTACAAAGCAACTTCTGTCATTGTGTGAAAATGGCTTTTCCAGGGCACTATGTCTTCAGGTTCTGCATTGCCATCATAGGCAGTGCATATAGCTTGTATTGTAGGTCATTAGAAGACACAGAGATGGAGTCAGCTCAAGAACTAGCCTATGTACTGTGGCCCCTCTTTTCTATTTGGATGACATGGTCCTAGAAATACGACCTGATACTTAGAGAGATGTATCATCAGAATTTTGTCATTTCTCAGTTTATTAAAAGATGCAGGGCTCCAAAATGGAATGTGCCCAGTTACTGGCTTCAGACTGACTGCTTTGGTGGTTCTTTCAGCACCTTTGTACCACTGCCTGCTGAAGTTCCCTAGTAGCTTTTTTAAGCAGTTCTATCCTGGAGAAAGGGAATCTTTAATATACTCTGAGTAGGTTAAAATACAGAAAAGATAGTCTGGGGGTGTTCTCATCTGCATTCAGAGATTTCAGAATCTCCCACTTCACTTCACAGAGAAGAATGGCTTTACCTACTTATGAAAGTGCATTGCCCCAGAAGGAGGAAAGGACTGAAGAGGCTTTTATTGTACAAAGAGTGAAAACAGTACCCGTTCCTAAAAATTGTAGAATCCACATAGAAAAAAATATTAAAGACTATTTTCTTATTTCTGTAAATTACTGGAGGGAATGAAAAACTAGTTGAGAGTATCTATGTCTTGGTGACAGGGAACCCATTGCAGTTTTCAACTCTGAATGAAGGGATTTTTAAGTGAAAGGAAGAAAAAAATCCTGGTACACTGTAGGTGGAACAGCTACATGTGAAAACAATTTGACATAAAGGCAGCTTAATAAGCAGAGACTTTAAGCAGGTGTGCAAAGCAGATAATTCTTTAACTGTACATTTTAAATCATAGTTTAAATTACTGTTTGGATCACCCTTTCCCAGACCAAGTTCTCTTTCCCACATTCTTTACAAGCGAGTTGGATAGAGAATATCATAATAGATTGATTGTCTTCCTTAAGCCAAGCCCTTAACATCATAGAGTTTCTTTCATTATTTCTTTTAGTTCTTTATTTTATTTTAGCTCAGCAGTACCCAGTAGATAATTCTCATTAACAAGCTAACTAATAGTCATTGTTGAAAGCATGTAATTGCAATTCCGCAACAGAATTAAATGTTTTTGGTTTGCTTTCTATTTGTAGAACACAAAGTAATTATAGTGGGACTGGATAATGCAGGGAAAACCACCATTCTTTATCAATTGTAAGTATTGTTGTTTACTTAACAGTTTTCATTATTTTCATTATTTGAAACTTTTTTATAATAACAATGAAATACTGTTCTTAGGCATTATGTGATACAAAAGCATAAACTTTTAAAAATTTTACCAAACAAAATTTACCAAAAAACTGACTAGACTGTTTTCTAAAGCCTTCACAGATACTCTTTTCTGGCCTTGAAAGAAATAATTAATATTAAAGTAAAATTTTCAAAAGCTCAAATTGTGGGCCAGGGATTTAGCTCAGTGGTTCTGTCGCTTGCCTTGCAAGCGCAAGGACCCGAGTTTGATCCC